GGGCTCCAAAATCACTGCAGATGGTGACTGCAGCCATGAAATTAAAAGACACTTGGTTCTTGGGAGAAAAGCTATGGCCAACCTAGACAGCGTATTAAAAAGCAGAGATGTTACTTTGCCAACAAAGGTCTGTCTAGTCAAAGCTATGGTTTTTCCAGTAGTCATGTATGGATATGAGAGTTGTACTATAAAGAAAGCTGAGCGCTGAGGAATTGATGCTTTTGAACTGTGGTGTTGGAGATGACTCTTGAGAGTCCCTTGGACTGCAAGGAGATCCAACCAGTCTATCCTAAAGGAGATCAGTCCTGAATATTCATTGGAAGCACTGATGTTAAAGCTGAAACTCCAATACTTTGACCACCTGACATGAAGAGCTGACTCATTTGAAAAGACCCTGATGCTGGGAAAGATTGAAGGCAGGAGGAGAAGGGGACAACAGAGGATGAGATGGTTGAATGGCATCACCAACTGGATGGACATGAGTTTGAGTAAGCTCCGGGAGTTGGTGATAGACAGGGAAGCCTGACATGCTGCAGTCCAAGGAGTCGCAAAGAGTCAGATATGACAGAGCAACTGAACTGAACTGAACTCCCCAATTTTTACCTCTCTATTCCAGGCTCTTAGTAACTTAGCAGCAGTTCTCTCATGGTGGTCCAGGGTCCCAGGGATCCCCAAGACCCTTACTGGCAGATCACAAGGTTAAATCTCTTTTCATAATAATCCTGCAGTGCTATTTGCCTTTTTCACTCCCTTGTTCAAAGACGTTTTCTAGAGGCCATGTGATGTATGCTAACACCCTTCCTCTGATGCTCAGTGGAGTTTTTGCTAATGTATTCTTGTTTTAATATTTTCCCAATTTTTATTTCTAATATGGTAAATTATGATAAGTATCATGCACCTAAAAGCTCTTTGAGACCCTCAGTCATCTATCAGGGTGAAAAGGAGTTCTGAGACCAAAAAGCTGGAGAGCACTGGCCTGGAGCCTGCCAGCCTGGGTAGTGCCTGTGTGTGCCTGAGAAAAGATGCCTCTTCTGGGTGGATAGAGCCCATACCTGGCGCCAGGTCTGGTCAAGCGCATGCAGGCTGGATTTCTTCTCTGTTCCTCCCTTTGGCTGGGTGCTTTGAGACATGTACAAAGTTCCCCACTGTACACTGTGACCCTGTGTTTCTCGGATGTCCTAACTCATGTCCGAGGCTCCAGCTTGCCTCCTCTGGTTCATCCTGTCCAGCATTGTTGGTTGCTCTTCTTACAATTTTGTTCACATCACTGTCCAACTACAAGGACTTCAGTGGTTCCCACTGCCTTCTGGATGCATTTCAAGCTTCTTGATGTGGCCATGGATGTCCTCCACCATCTGGCTTTCAATTGTCCTTCCAGCTTTATTTCCTGGTGCTCCTTGACACAAACTCTCTGCCATGGTGCAACTTTATTTTTCTTGTTTTCACAGTCCAGTCAGTAACAGGCCCTCTGATTTTTCCCTAGTCACTCCCTCCACAAGCCCCCAAAGTCAGGGGTCCTGCTTACTCCTCTTAGAATCCGCTGTCTAGCAATGCCTTGCCCGTGATAGATGGTGAGGAAGATGCATGGCTTTTGGACTCCAACAGGCTGAGATTTGAGGCCCTGAGGCTTCCCCTGTGACTCAGCAAGTAAAGAATCCATCTGTAGTGTGGGAGACACAGGAGACGTGTTTAATCCCTGGGTTGGGAAGATCCCCTGGGGGAGGAAATGGCAACCCACTCCAGTATTCTTACCTGGAGAATTCCATGGACAGAGGAACCTGGCAGGCTACAGTCCCTGGGGTCGCAAAGAGTTGGACATGACTGAACACATAAATTCACTGCCACACACAGCCGAGGAACTTTGAGCGCATGGCTTGACTCTTCCAAACATGAAAGGGGGAGTCCCTCATCTGTGTGGTGATGGGACTTGGCTGTCTCCGAGTGTAGTTATGAGAGGCAGATGCTTGATAGAAGTTAGTTCTTATCTCTTTGCTGAATGAGTGTGGTGTGTGGAGAAAAATCACGGGTACTTTTAGACCAACAGGATATCACACGGGGGTGTTTGCACATGCTACGTTTGCTGTCCTGTTGGCTGGAAAACACTGATTCCTGCCCCCAAGGGCCTCTCTTTTCTTTTTTTATTTTAACTATTATTTATTTATTTGACTGTGCCGCATCTTTGAATGCCGTTGTGGCATTCAGGGTCTTTAGTTGTGGTACGTGGGATCTAGTTCCCTGACCAAGGATGGAACCCAGGCCCCTTGCATTGGGATTGTGAAGTCTTGGACACCAGACCACCAGGGAAGTCCCTCCCTTTTTTTTTTTCTTTTCGCCTGAAAGCTGGTTGATGCTGATGCCTGCTTCACTACTTTGGAATTTGCCACCTATCTTAGTGCAGTTACCCAAGCACCCCTCCCTCGGGGCATCAGCAGAGTCGTCCCCATACTGGCCCACAAGGAGAATCATGTTCCCCTGAGCAATCTAGGCATTCCGATTTACCAGGTGCCCTTGAACTCTGGAGTTCCACATCAGCTAATGCCCTTCAGTTGTCCACTAAAAACTCCCTTCTGGAGGGGTAGTGACCCTCTAAGTCACAAGGAAAGTGAGTGAGTGGAGAAGGAAGGCCTTGAGCTTGACTCTTCCTCCATTAGATGGTCTTCTTCACCAAGATGAATGCTCCCAGGAAACAGGGACTGATTATTCATTTCCGTTTAAATAGCACTCACTCCAGGCAGAGCCAGACATGGAAGAGGTGCTTATTAAGGATTTTGTTGAATCTATGAAAGAATCAAGCTGGTTCCAAGATGGGCTTTGAGAAAATGTTGGAAATGGCTAACCACCGTCTCTCCAAGGAGAAAAGCTTCCTCCTTCCTTTTTACTTAACTTCCTTCCATTTTTCTTCCTCCTTTTATTCATTCAAGAGGTATTTAAGTGCCAGGCTCAGTTATAGGTATTGGGAATACAGCAGTGAACCTAATAGTCTATGTCTCTGACTTTGATGGAATTTAATTTTTATTTAGGGAGATAAAGCAAATAAATATTCATTTTTTTAACTTTTTTCTGTATCTATTCTATATATAATAGTTTGCATCTGCTAGTCCCAAATTCCCAAGCAAGCAAATAAATATTTAAACTGATGCTGGGCAGTGACAAATCCTAGAAGGAAGAAAATAGGCGAGGAGCTGGGCAGTGTGAGGGTGTGGGTTGAGGGTGGCTTTCCTACAGAGGCGGTCAGAGAAGGCCATAGGAGATCGAGGGAGCTGATCTCACAGATATGTTCTGGGTCCAAACTCTGTAGACAGAGAGGACAGCAGGTGCAGAGGCCCTCAGGCAGGAGCATGGAGGTCATCCTGCTGACCTTGACCCACAGCGAGGTCAGTGTGACTGAAGAGGAGGGGAGGGTGAGGCAGGTGATGAGAGGTGACAGAGTGTGGTGCCAATTCCATAGGCCTTTGACTTTGACTTTCAATGAGTTGGGAGGCCGCTTGGAGGGTTTTGAGGATAGGCGCTTCCCAAAATGACATAATTAAAAGGTCTGTTCGCCAGATGAGTTCAGTGGAATGGATTTTCTTTTTAATAAGTTTATTCATTTAGAAACTATAAATTTGTGAACTTCTATGAAGTTACTTCTTTAGTTGTTCAGTCGCTCAGATGTGTCCGACTCTTTGCAATCTCGTGGACTGTATGCAGCATTCCAGGCTTCCCTGCCCTTCACTGTCTCCCAGAGCTTACTCAAAGTCATGTTCGTAGAGTCAGTGCTGCCATCCAACCATGTCATCCTCTGTTGTCCCCTTCTTCTCCTGCCCTCAATCTTTCCCAGCATCAGGGTCTTTTCCAATGAGTCAGCTCTTTGCATCAAGTGGCCAAAGTATTGGTGCTTCAGCTTCAGCATCAGTGCTTCCAATGAACATTCAGGACTGATTTCCTTTAGGATGGACTGGTTTGATCTTGCTGTCCAAGGAACTCTCAAGAGTCTTCTCCAGTACCACAGTTCGAAAAATCAATTCTTAGGTGCTCAATACTGCTTTAGAGATGCTGCCAAATGCCTTCTCTCATGAGTCTGAGGAGCAGGCTTTGGCTTCAGGGCCCTGGGAGGGAGTGGGGCCTCCCTTGGTTCAGGGGTTCCCTTCCCTCGCTTCTCGCCCACAGGAGGTTGGAGCAGAACTTCTTCAACTGCAGCTGTGACATCCGCTGGATGCAGCTGTGGCAGGAGCAGGGGGAGGCTAAGCTCAACAGTCAGAACCTCTACTGCATCGGCGCCGACGGCTCCCAGCTGCCACTCTTCCGCATGAACATCAGCCAGTGCGGTGAGTGAGCCCCCTGGCCCGGCTGGCTCCACGCCGGCCTCCCACAGACCCCAGGGATGGTGCGGCACGTCAGTAGAGGAAGCCAGGGCTTTCCATCCCCACTGCCCTCCCAGCCTTGAATTCTCCGCATTGGCTGCGGATCTGGTTCCCCTCTTACTTCCTGCTTGCTCCTGTCCCTTCATGAGCCAGCTGTGGGAAGGTTGGTTTCAGGCAGCAGTCCCCAATCTTTCTGGCACCGGGGACTGGTTTCGTGGAAGACAGCTTTTCCTTGGACGGAGGGTGGGGGATGGCATGGTTTGGGGATGATTCAAGTACATTACATTTATTGTACACTTTATTCCTATTTTTATTACATCAGCTCCACCTCAGATCATCAGGCATTAGGTTCTGGAGGCTCGGGACTCTTGGTTTCAGGGATGCAGAAAAGGGTTACGTGTACCCTCTTTGTGATCGGACCAGAGTGCCTGCACCCTGGCAGTTTCTTATTAAGCAAACCTGAAGGAGTGCAGGTGCAGGTGTGGTCTCCGGGTCTCCTTTGTCAGGAACGTCTAAGGGACTTTTAGAGAAGCACATGTGTGGGCCTGATCACTCATCCCTGACTTAGGAGATCAGAGTGTCTGGGGATGAGTTTGGAATTGTGAATTTCTAGTGAGCTCCCCAGGGGAGTCTGAAGCGGATCAAAGTTTTGAGAGCCAGTGCCCAAAGTAGAAGATGCCATTTGATGTCATTGCTAGAGTTGCATGCCTTGAGTAATTGTCCTCCCCTCCAACCCTCCAACCTCCCCACCATCCCCTCCACCAGTAAAGCTACATGGTCTTACGTCCTGAGATCTGATGTCTGGAGCTGGTGTGAGGCTTCTGAGACGTGGGGTACTTTTAAGAGGTCAAGCAGGTTGTGCTGGAGTCATTATTAGACAAAGCAGGAAGTGCCCCCATTGCCCTCATGGACAGCGTCTTGGTCACAAGCTCTTCCTTATCTACTCACCTGCCCTGTCCTCCCTCCCAGACCTTCCTGAGATCAGCGTGAGCCACGCCAACCTGACCGTACGAGAGGGTGACAATGCTGTCATCACCTGCAACGGCTCGGGCTCGCCCCTGCCCGATGTGGACTGGATAGTCACCGGCCTGCAGTCCATCAACACCCACCAGGTAGGTGTGACCTTGGGCCCTGTCCCCTATTAGTCTTAATGAGCTGAATCATGCAGAGAGGCAAGAGATGTCAGAATAAGAAAGAAGAAGAGGGGAAGTTTGTCATCCTCTCTCTACAAGAAGAAAGGCGGAGACTTGGATGCCACCCAGCCACAACTTTTTCTGGCCAAACTGATCTTAAGCAGACTATCAACATCTCTGTACCTTACCTTCCTCATCTGTGAAATGGGTATAATGCTGCCATGCACCTCATAGGGTAAGTGTGAGGGTTACCTGAGCTCTTGACTGTAGAGAGCTTGGCCTTTGGTCAGCGTGCCTTCACTGGATAGGCCTCTTTCACTTTCTGCCCGTCTTTCCTTTTGATTCCTGAAGGTGTTGGGGAGTTTGTTGGGGGAAGCTTGTGGAAACTGACTATTGTCTTGGTTTTGGTGCCATCATCTGATTTTTCTGTTTTAAATCTTTTTTAAAATTTTTATGTGGTAAAGTATATGTAACTTAAAATTTACAGTCTTAAATGTTTTTTCAGTTATTATAAAATATTAGCTCTACTCCCTGTGCTGTACAATATATCCCTGGAGCTTCTTTTATACATCTGATGGTTGTCTCTTTTCTTGGGATTTTAGACAAATCTGAACTGGACCAACGTTCATGCCATCAACCTGACGCTGGTAAATGTGACGAGTGAGGACAACGGCTTCACCCTGACGTGCATCGCTGAGAACGTGGTGGGCATGAGCAATGCCAGCGTGGCCCTCACTGTCCACTGTGAGTGGACGCCGTTATGGAGGGCGGCTGGGATCCTGGGGATCTCGGCACAGGGGGCTGGGCTGGGGCGGGGCCGCTGCGGTGGGCGTGGTCCACTAGGAGGGCAGAAAGACTCATGTGGGGCAGTACTGGGCAAGTCAAGTCAGTCCTTGGCTAGTAACCCCAGAAAGTGTGTCCCTGTCCCTCAGAAGGTGCTGGGCCTCCAACTCAGATCTGCTCACTCCTGAGCTGGTTCAAGTCTGCCTTTTGTTAAACCTCTAAAAGTTCTCTGAGGAGCTACTCCATAGAGACAGGGAATGGGCGAGTGTACATATGAATTGTTTTGGCTGGGAAATACATGTAGTCATGCACATTTCTTGGTAAATTACTGCTAATCACACCAAAAAAAAAAAATCCCACAACAAAACCAAATATCTGAAGTTAATGACTTTCGTGCTTACCTATGCACCAAATGCAAGGATCTGGGGTCATTGAATGACCTTTAGTATGAAATTTTGTTTCTCTTTTGGCTTAACGAAGACGCTTTTAAGGGAAATCCTAGTGGGACTTCCCTGGTGGTCCAGTGGTTAAGACTTTGCCTTCCAATGCAGGGGGTGCGGGTTCATTCCCTGGTTGGGAAACTAAGATCCCACTTGCCTTGAGACTAAAACATAAAACAGAAGCAATGTTGTAACAAATTCCATAGACTTTATAAATGGCCAACATTTAAAAACAATCTTAAAAAAAAAGATAAATTCTGCCAACTTCTCTTACATTCTTACAAGAGGAACTCATCTCTTTAAGGAATTCTTAGACAGTATAGTAGACTGAATGTTTATGCCCCACCCCCCAACAAAGGTCATGAGAGGGACCCTCCAGTTACAGTGGATCCAGGAAGCTTGGGCAAAGACAGACATCTCTTCACCTGTTTAGGGATGGTGTTGGTATTGGTGGGGGCTATGGGACTTCTGATTCCCTTAGTCTTTTTAGAGCTGATAGGGAAGAATTGGGGCTTCCCAGGTAGCACAGTGATAAAGAATCCACCTGCCCATGCAGGAGACGCAGGAGACGCTAGATCCCTGGGTTGGGAAGGTCCCCTGGAGAAGGAAATGGCAACCCACTCCAGTATTCTTGCTGGGATAATGCCATAGACAGAGGAGCCTGGTGGGGTACAGTCCATGGGATTGCAAAAGTCAGACATGACTGAGCATGCATGCACGCATGAAGAATTGGGCTGCCCGCCCCAGCTCCTGGAAGGCTGCTCCAGGACGTGGGAGGGTCCGTGTCCTGGGCTTCAGCTGGCCTGTTCCCTGGCAGACCCCCCTCGTGTGGTGAGCCTGGAGGAGCCTGAGCTGCGCCTGGAGCACTGCATCGAGTTCGTGGTACGCGGCAACCCGCCGCCCACGCTGCACTGGCTGCACAATGGCCAGCCGCTGCGCGAGTCCAAGATCATCCACGTGGAATACTACCAGGAGGGCGAGGTCTCCGAGGGCTGCCTGCTCTTCAACAAGCCCACCCACTACAACAACGGCAACTACACCCTCATCGCCAAGAACCCCCTGGGCACCGCCAACCAGACCATAAATGGCCACTTCCTCAAGGAGCCCTTTCCAGGTGAGGGTGGAACTGCCCTGGGGTGCTGATCCCTCCAGGCGCTCAGGGGTGTCGGGTGTGGGGGCTTGAGGGGTGAAGCAGCGTCAACACGGATACCATCATCACCAGCAACCACACACACTTTGGAACATCTTCGGCCACCACCAGAATTTTATGTAAACTAGATATAGTCTCTGTTTTCTGTTGGCGGTCACAGTAAAAACCAAGGCCCCTTGGAAATACACAGCTATGCATATAAGGGTATATGGTGTTATGGTAGAGTAAGTAGGGACTTGGGAACTGGGTCGGAATGGTGGGGAATTTGGACCCAGTCCTTTGTTTGTTGGGGGATTCTGGGCCTGATCATTACCTCAACATCGTCATCTGTGAAATGAGCATGATGGTACTGCTCCCATAAGAATCTTGTGACTTTTATTAAATAACTTAAAGTAGACAAAGCGTGTGTCTCAGGCTTTGGTACCTAATGATGGTTTGATGATCTTCCATGTAAGGGGCTTCGAGGTCTATCTGATTCATCCCCACATTTAACAGATAAGTTAAATCTCTTTCCACTTGCTGGGTAGAAGCAAGGCTTTGCCTGGGGTTGAGGCTTCCAGGCCTGTGGCTCCTTTCCTCTAACACTGTGGTGAGTTGATGGGTGGGGAGTTCCTGATACCCTCAACCTGAATGGTGCTGACATCCAGTGGATGGGTGGGGGAAGGAGAGGTCATTGAAATAATGAAAAAATTTTGTTTGAATATTTGGAAGGGAGTCTATCTTTGTCTGGGCTGGAATATTTCCAATATCTTCCTGAAGTTGGAGGAGAAGAAAAAACTCCAAGAGTTTAGTGAAAGTGGCTGCAGCATCTCTTGGTAGATTTGGCAGCTGATAAGTTTCTATCAGTGAAGTCATGTATCTTTGATGACCTTGCTGATTTCTGCTGGGAGCAAACTAGAGGACCTCTCAGCCTTCAATTCCTAGAAATCCAGGCTTCTAATGAGGTAAAGGGTAAAGCAGATATCAGTAAAGAAATCAGTGAAGACTGATACTATGCGCGCTCACACACACACACACACACACACTCACACACTCACACACATGGCAGAGGAGGGCTAGCGCTGTAGCATCTGCTTATGTGAAGGTGACTTTACAACGTACAGATAACCATCAGGGAGCAGCTCCAAGGGGCCTTTTACATCTTAGCACAAGGAAACTTGAACTCTGGAGACACTGAGAGACACTCTGGAGAGATGAGACTGCCTGGGAAGCTAAATTCTTGCACGGAGCTCTGTGGAGCAGTGATGACACCATCGCTCAGGAGAGGACTGAGAATGTGCCAATGCTTGAGACCCTGGCCATCCCATATGGTCTGATACTTCCATCATCATTCCTAGTATACCCAGTAAAGGGCCTCAGGACACTTCCCACCGTGGGTCACACGGGGCTTTTTAACTGGAGGAGTCCCGGTCAGCACTGTGGAAGCAGCGAGCTTTAGATGCCGAGATGCTTTGCTTTTCAGGACTGTAAAGTCAGGCTAGGCTTTGTTGGCATTAAGGGCTGGAGTGGCCCTTTGCCCTGCTCATGCCCATCTGGTGATTAGAGAATGGAATCATTTTTAAAGAGAAGGTGTATGAACACTGATGGGGGAAAGGCGAGGTGGGATGATGAATTGGGAGACTGAGGTTGACATGTATACTCTACTGGGTATAAAATAGACAACTAATGAGAACCTACTGTACGGCACAGAGAACTCTGCTCAGTGTTCTGTGGGGACCTAAATGGGAAGGAAACCCAGAAAAGAGGAGATACGTGCGTATGTATGGTGATTCACTCTGCTGTGTGACAGAAATTGACAGGACATTGTACAGCGACTATCCTCCAATGCATGTTTTCTTTTCTTTTTTTTTTTTCAAAAGAGAAGAATCTATACTCCTCATGAGTGAGGAGTGAAGCCCCTGCCAAGTGATGTTTCTGTCCTCAAAGGGAAACTCCTGGGGTCTGGAGAGAGGGGGAGCCCTTGAATGTTTGAGAGGTGGGGCAAGACACTCCGGCTCCTGTCCACAGAGGGTGTGCTGGCCGTGGGGCAGCAGAAGCAGTGGAATGGTGCGGGGCATGGCTTTTCCCACTGGGAGGGAAGCCCTTCTCTGAGTCCTCCCAGCCATACGTACACCTTCTCTGTCCGCAAGAGACACAGCTGCCCCGCCTCATCACCTCTGGACACCCCTATCACCTATCGACTAATCAGGCCAGTCGTTCTCAAGGAGCGGTCCCCAGAGCAGCAGCGTCCACATCACCTGGGCAGGTGTTAGAACTCAAATCCTAGAGCCCCACCCAGACCTACTGAGTCAGGAATTGTGGGGTGGGGCCCGGCAGTCTGTGTCTTAACAAGCCCTCCCACCCTGAAAATTCAGATGCTCTTATTTGCCAGCTGCTGCTGTGGCAGGTGGTGGACCGAGGAGGCAGGAGAGAGGGTGGAGTATAGAGGAGCTTGAAGGCAAACTGCTCACTTGCACCCTGCCAGGGCCATCCTGTGCGAAGGCTTGCTTGTTCGTAAAGGAATCAATGGATGATGAAAAGGCAGTGACGGGGAAGAGATGGGCCAATCGTGTCAGTGACAAAGTAGCTAGGCATTCAGGAGAGTCGGTTATCTGGTGACGCAGGCAGTAAACTGCACCCCTGCTGAACCCTGGGTGCAAAGGCTCTTGGTGGGTTCCTGCTCTGCTCTTGCTGTAACGTGGTGGGGAGGTTGTGTTTGTCATTTGTACCCGTCTCGCTTCCAGGCAGCAAAGCGTGGAGGTTCAGAGTCAAAGGTCTGAAATCAGACAGATTGAGGTGCAAACTGCATCTGTATTCCTACTGGACAGGTGCCCTCAGCTCCTAGAATGGGGCTTGGCACACGGTGGGCCTGAGATGCCTCTGTTTCTTCATCTGTAAAATGGGGGTGGTAACCGGAGCTGCTGCCTGAATAGTCCGAGGATGAATGAAGTGATGTCTGCCAAGTGTTTCACCCTATGTCTGGACAGAGGGATGGTTCAACTGCTGTTGGCCATGATTCCAGGTGGAGAATTAAGGAGTTGAGTTCAGGAGTTCTAGAATTGGTAGTCACCCTGTAATCAAGCTGGGAAGTTCTAACAGTCTTCAGGTAGTTTCATCGAAGGTGGTGGTTATGGAGTCACAGGCTAGGGTTCAGATTCTCACTCAGCTACCCTTCAGCTCTGTAATCTCAGGCAGCTTATTCAGCCCTCTTGCTTCTGCCTCAGAGATTGTGGTGAAGATTCATTCACAGACACTGGATCAAACTGCCTAAAATATCTCCCACAGTGCTTGGTACAGAGTAAGAGCAGAACTAGTTTGTTTTTATTTTTATTTTTTTTAAAAAAACACCCAAGGACAACTGAAAGTGGATTTGTTTGGGGAGGGGATGGAGATCTGAAGTTGAGGGTCTTCTTTCTTGACTGTTCGTGGGTCGGAGGCCCACAGGAGAGATTGGATTGAAATGAATACACTGAGTGGAGACCTCTGAAGATGCAGAGGCTTCGATCAGAGGATTTTCTCCGAGCAGGACATTGAGATGAAAATGTTCTGCAAAAGCTTTTTGTAAGCTTCACATCCTATGCAAATGTTGGTGGTTCCTTCTGCATTTCCAGGAAAGCACTAGAATGTTCTGCCTGGAGTTTAAGCCTTAGTGTAGGAGCCAGTCCTTGGAAAGGAAGATGTGTTCTAGAAGCATGGAATCTTCTTTCATGTTCCAGGATCTTGGAGGGGCCACCAAAAAGAATCTGGGTGTAAGAGTGGGACTGTGAGGAGTCAGGGTTCTGAGTCAGGGGAGGCTGGGGATCACATCAGGGTCAGGGTGGTACCTGGAAGGTCACCATTAGGGATCCTTGGATAATGATGTGATAGGAAGGGAAATGTTGCCAAGGGTGTGTGTGTGTGTGTGTGTGCACGTGTATGTGTTTGTATGTGTGTATGGGTGAATGTGCATGCATGCATGCATGTGTGTATGTATGCATGTGCATTTGTGTATGTATGAAAGAATGTATGTTTTATGTTTGTGCGCTTGTATGTGCATGTATGTGTGTATGCATGGTGTGCATGCATGTGTATGCATATGTATGTGTGTGTATGTGTATGTGTGTGCATGTGTGTAAGGGTGAATGTGCTTGTATGTGTACATGTGTGCATGCATGTATGCACATGTGTTTTATGTGTGTGCGTGTATGTGCATGTGTGTATGCAAGGGGTGTGCGCGCACATGTGTATGTGTTTGTACATGTGTGAATGTTCATGTGTGAGTATGTGTGTGCATTTATGTGCTTATGTGTATGTATGTATGTGTACAAGTGTATGTGTGCATATGTGTCTATTTATGTGTGCATGCACATGTGTGCACATGTGTGTGTATGTGTGTTTGCCTGCACTCCTGCAACGAATATCTGTGAATACCTGACAAAACATTTAGGAGCAAGTGAGCTGCCATAACGCTTGAATTCTCCTTTTTTGACTTGGCCAGGAAGTCTCTTCATTGTGACAGCAGAAACCAGAATTCCCTCAGGGCCCTGGGTACCACCAAGGGGAGACACCATTGTGCCAACGCCCTTAGCGGCATCAAGGCTGGCTTCTTTCCCCTCAGGAACTTGTTGAGACTAGAACGTGCTCCCAGACTGCCGGTGCTGGGGACGTGGAGGGGGCAGCCGCGTGTGGCCGTCTGGGCGGGGTGGGCCGAGCATATGGACGCCTGGTGCAGCTCCCTCCCCTGTCCTCACATCTGAAGCCAGGCCATCTCTTCACATCATCACATCTCAGTGCATCTCTGTCTGTCTGGATGCAAGCTGCCGCCTCTCTTCTCTTTTCTCTGGACCCTACTGGCTTTTCCCACTGAGTTTTTCTTGAGGAGTTTGGGATCTGGAGGAGACAGATGCCTTCCATTCGTGCCCAGTCCCCTTTGCGATTCAGATGCTGCCTTGGCACGCTAGTCCAGTTGTTCTCCCAGCCTGCTGGTGCAGGCAGAGATGAGGACCACTCTTGGGCACCATCCTCTTCCAGGGTGAAGTTTCGAGTCCTCCCACAGGTTAAACAGAACCCTGGAGGTCTGCTGTTCCAGGTCTCATGTGTTTCCTGGGTGAATACATGTCTCCAGGCTCCTGCAAAGGAGCTAAGCATTCATAGGCTCACTGAGAGATTACAGGATTCACAGATTAGGCCAAGACATTTGGCTGACATGAGAATATTCTCCAATAAAGAAAAGCCTTATGAGAAATATGCAAATCAGTTTTAACTATGAGTTGATCTGGCACGTCTCTTTTCTCTGAAGCCACAGCTAGGGTCCCTTGACGCCCATCTTCCTCCCAAATCAGGTAATTGGTCACTTGAAGTTTAGAAGAGGCTGGGGGTATGAAGGGCATGCTCAGGAATTTGGGCAAAGCTGTATTGCTGTCCCTTGAAACAACGAAAAGCATGTGATGAACAAGAAATCTATTAACAGTGCATTTACTGTATGTAGAACTTTCTTTAAAGGACTCCTTGCTTATAGAAACCACATTTTCTCCACAGGTAGTTAGAGAACGGAGCTTCGGCTGCAATGACTGAAAGCTTAGTTAGCCAAATGCCTGGTAAATAGAAGGTCTGTGATGAATGAATGAATGAGCTGTTGTTTTCAGGGTGTGGTAGGCTTGTGACAGGAGGAGCTGTACTACAATGCAGGGGTTCTCAAAGGAGCAGCAGCATCCTCATCACCTGAAAACTTGGTCAAAATGCAAATTCTCAAAACCCACTCCAGACCTCCTGAGACAGAAACTCTGGGGTGGGGACCAATAATCCATATTTCTTTTTTTAAAAAGTTAAAAACTTTTTTTAAAGTTCTTGATTTTGAAATAGTTTGGGATTTACACCTCCCATCCCCCAAATTGCAAAAGAGTACAAAAGACTTTCTTACACCCTTCACCCAGCTTCCCCCAATGTTGCCATCTTACATAATCACAGTGCAGTGATCACAACCAGGAGGGACACTGATACAACCCTATTACCTAATCTACAGACTTTATTTAAATTTTATCAGTTGTCCTTCTCTTCTTGAGATCCAATCCAGGATTATACATTGCATTTGGCTGCCATGCCAAATTCTCTTAGTTCTTCAACCTCTCTTTGTCTTTCATGATCTGTGTCCTTTGAAGAATCCTCACTAGTTATATGTAGGCCATCCTACAGCTTGGGTTTGCCTGGCGTTTTCTCACAGTTGAATGCCAGGTATGCATTTTTGGTAAGAGCACCGCAGAAGTAACATTGTACCCTTTCAGTGCATCGTGTTGGGGGTACATGTTATCTGTACCTCTTATTACCCGTGATGTTAACTTTCTCACTTGGTCAAGATGGTGTCTGCCAGGTTTCTCCACTGCAAAGTGATAATTTTTTTCCCTTTTGTAATTAATGTAAGCCAGAAAGATAAAGACCATTACAGTATACTAACACATATATATGGAATTTAGAAAGATGGTAACGATAACCATATTTTGAAGTTTTATAAATATAATTTCTTATTATTCTTTCACATATTAATTTTGGCATTCATTGGTGATTCTTGCCTGAATCAAATATTAATGTGCCATTTGTCAATGGTGATTTTCTTCTAGTTCCATCCTTTCCTCTCTATTTATTAATTGGAATTTTATTGTAAGGAAGAGCTTTCTTTTTCTTCCTCATTTGTTGATTAAATTACTTCTTATATCAGTATGGACTCATGGGTATTTATTTTGTTCTGTGAATTACAATCCATGTGTTAATTTGCTAGAGCTGCCATGAGAAAAAGTGTCAGGGACTAAATGGCTTAAACAGCATAAATTTATCTTCTTACAATTCTGGAGGCTTGCAGTCTGAGATCAAGGTATCAGAAGGGTTGGTTGTTTCTGAGCCTGTCTCCTTGGCTTGCAGATGGTTGTCATCTCCGTGTGTCTTTATCTGTCTCCGTATAACTATATCCTAATGCCCTCTTATAAGGACACAGTCATATTGGATTAGTGCCCACCCTAATGAGTTTATTTTTTCTGAACTTTTTGCAAGGGGAGAAAAATATTTATTTTTTTAATTGGAGGATAATTGCTTTACAGTGTTGTGTTGGCTTCTACCATACAGCAGTGTGAATCAGTCATAAGTGTACATGTGTCCCCTCACTCTTGAACCTCCTTCCCACCCTCCTATCCCACCTACCCCTCTAGGTTGCTAATGACTTTAACTTAATTACCTCTTAAAGACACTATCTTTAAATATAGTCATAGTTTAAGGTACTAGGGTTAGGACTTCTGTGTATGAATTTTGGGCAGCTCATAACATAAATAAATAATTCAGCTCATAACAACCTATGACTGTCATTATATTTTGTTGCTCAAATCATCCCCAATTTGGCCATTGGAAACCCCTCATGGTGGCTCCTGCATCCTTTCTTCCTTCCCCTAATAATTTTTGTATGCTTTCTTGCTTTTCAATACCACAAGATGTTCTAGGTACACCTTTTACTTTTTCTTCCCCAGTCCCGGAATTATGCATTTCTCTAAGAAGCCCTTATTCTTTCTGTTGGAGGATGGTAGTGGTCATCTCCTGATGCTTCTGTGTCAGGCTGAAGTTTGAGAATCTCTGATAAACTGGTTCCGAGCCCAGGCTTGAATTCAGGTGTATCCCTTCTTAGATGAGTGACATTCAATTAGTCACTTGATCTCTATATGTCTTTTTACTCTCCTGATGAAAGGGTGTGATGCTACCCATCTCCCAGGGTGGGTATAAGGACTGGGTGATGTGTTACATAAAGCATTTTGCACACCCCCATCTCATAATCAATGCCCAATAATGATTGGCTTTCATTATTAGGTGGTCATTTCTAAAGGCTGAAGACTCAATAACACATTTTCATCTGGGAAATAGATTCTAGAGGGATTCCCAAGCATGTCTCAATGACCTACTAGAATAAACTTTACAACTGGGGAATTGTGATCTTGAGATCATAGCTGGCGTTTCCCAGGAAGATCACAGAAGCCCATCCTGCAGCATTTCTTCTGGGCTCTAATGTTCCACCAGCATCCCCAACACACTGCATACCTGGGGGAAGGCTGTGGGTGCGATGGGGAGTCTAGATTTAATTCTTCATCTCATGGTTTGGTTTCTAGTCTCCAGGTGGGCCAGGCCACCTCCCTTGAAACCCAGGAGTTTTAGCTCTTATTCCTTTATTTAGAAGACCACCTTCTAAAGAGTAAAAGGGTGTGGGGGAGGGTTGACATGCCAAGGGTTTTAGCTTTCAGTTGCCACGGCAACAGGGGATCATGGTGAGTAGGAGAGGTCATAGCTATGAAGAAGGTAGAGCGAGGCTGTTCCGATTTTTATTACGTTTGTTAATTATCTCTGTTTTTTTTTTTGCAGAGAGCACGGATAACTTTGTCTCTTGTAAGTCTCTTTTACCTTTTGCTTTGAAAGTGATTTATTCTCATACTTTGGTGACTACTGAGTCCAGATAGCCCTCTTTCCTGTTCTATCACCATCCCCAGACCCACAGCCACTGACAGGATCTGAGTGAACCGTGAAAGGAGAGTAGAAACTCTTCTTGGGCAGTTCCAAGCCCACGCCTCTTAGACGGTCACTTGCTGCCTCAGTTTTCTTGCAGTTTTCTAGGGTCTGACCATGTTGCAGGTCTTCCTACCCAGACAGAGAGAGGTGGTGTTAGGAAGAATGTGGGGTTCATGTGCCCCGGTGGACCCGTGTTGAGCATCTCAGTTGTTCTTGCAGAGAGAATGTGGAACCTGTGATGTTAGTGTTTGTCACCTGCTTCAAGAGCCAGGGAATTCGGCCAGAACCCACCCAGGTGGTGCTAGTGGTAAAGAATCTGCCCGCCAATGCAAGAGACCTAAGAGACATGGGTTCGATCCCTAGATCAGGAAGATCCCCTGGAGGAGGGCATGGCAACCTGCTCCAGTACTCTTGCCTGGGAAATCCCATGGACCGAGGAGCCTGGCAGGCTACAGTTCATGGGGTCACAACTGAAGCGACAGAGCACGCAAGGCGAGTGGAGCTGTGACTGGCAAGGTCTCCCACAGGCTCATCTGTCTTTGAATGAAATTATTGAGGCTCAGTCTATAAGTGATTCGGGGCCAGGACTAGACAACTCCCAAAGGATTTGGGGGTTTGCTCATGGACTGTAGGGAAACCCATATTTATTCCTTTTCCTTTTGTCCCCCATGGGAGAGGAATAGTGATGGCTGGGGTCATTTCAGCTTCCTGTGTGGCCTGAGACAGCAGACAGTCCTTTTTTAGGACATGCATTGCTGTTCGGCTCAGATGTAAATATCACCTGTAATTCCTTTATTTGTCCTTGGCCTTAGTGGACTTGTCATCTCACAGTCATGGGGTCACAACTGAAGCGACAGAGCACGCAAGGCGAGTGGAGCTGTGACTGGCAAGGTCTCCCACAGGCTCATCTGTCTTTGAATGAAATTATTGAGGCTCAGTCTATAAGCGATTCGGGGCCAGGACTAGACAACTCCCAAAGGATTTGGGGGTTTGCTCATGGACTGTAGGGAAACCCATATTTATTCCTTTTCCTTTTGTCCCCCATGGGAGAGGAATAGTGACGGCTGGGGTCATTTCAGCTTCCTGTGTGGCCTGAGACAGCAGACAGTCCTTTTTTAGGACATGCATTGCTGTTCGGCTCAGATGTAAATATCACCTGTAATTCCTTTATTTGTCCTTGGCCTTAGTGGACTTGTCATCTCACAGGACACCCCTCTGGAGAAATTTGAACCGGGGATGTCTCTGGACAAGTTGGTGATTCCAGATGGATGTCTGAGGGAGGCTTGGCTGCCCCTCCAGGCCTTTCTGGGAAGACCTGGTGTTTCCTAGTCAGATAAACTTGCTGCTTAACTGAAGCTGCCACTGTGCTCTGAAATCTGCCTCAGGGCAATGGATAGTGGGTAGTTTGTGGGGCCACAGGCCTCCTGGATCTCACTGAGGAGATCCAGGAAGGGCATAGAAAGAAGGGACAGGATAAGGGATGCAGAGAGGAGCTGTGTGTAGCCAGAGCTGCCTTCACTGACACAATGGGCTGAATCCAGACCCTGGCTGTGATCGCAAACCATCTCCCTTCATCTTATCTATCCAATAGCTCATGGCCTGTGTTGCCCAGGTTAGGATTAGGCTATTTATTCTGGGATGTGAATCGGAGGATGAGAGTGAAGGCTCTTTATGCCTATGCAGTCTGTCCTTGAGCTGTCAACACCTGCCAGGGAGCCTTTGGGGGTCTGGTCTCTGGGGACCCCTGCAAAGCCTGGAGAGATCAGAGTCTGACTTTCAAGGGATATTCTCTAGGAAGAACTTTTGAGAAGGTTTGGGAATTGGGTAAGAACTGTGAGGGAGGTTCTCGTGGCCAGCAAACTAACTGCTTTTCTGTTTTTCTGGTTGGTTTTCAGTCTACGAAGTGAGCCCTACCCCTCCTATCACTGTGACCCACAAACCAGAGGAAGACACTTTTGGGGTGAGTCACTTCTTGGTCAAGAGAAAGGTGTTTACTGATGCAGTGGTTTTCCGCCTTCTGTTTTAAGTCATCAACTTTTCCAAACACCCCCTTGTTTGGAACTGTGGCATAAAGAAGCTGTGATGAATTACCTCCTCTCAGGTGGTTGAAACCTGATGAGAATAATAATTCATTGTTTGAGGAAGTCTTTGAGGATCTGCTTTAAGCCCCGGGGCTTGGAAAAGAAGAGTTTGAGAATTCCCACTCCATTAGCAGCCAGCTGGGCCTGATTTGAAGGGGCTGCTAATTGTACAACCTTTTACAAAAGTCAGAGTTGCCCGGGGTATCTTCTTGGGTGGGAGGTGCCCCTACCCCACTTTCAGAGCCTGAGATTTCTCTGGGGAGGAAAGGAAAGAGGTCTTTTTAGAATCTCATGGATAAGAATATTACCCCAAGCAGGTCAATGTGAAGATGCAGGATTTACTTGCTAATTAAAAGCACAATGAAACAATAGACAGAAGCCTCTCTGGGCTTCCTCCTGCGTCTGTTGGGATGGCCCCAGCTGAGAGAGCTCAGAACACTGAATCATGGAAGTTTTCTCTAATCGATTTGGGTAATTTATTTTTTGATGTTAGTAGAACCTCATAAATTATGTCTTCTCAAGACTTTCCTCAGTCTGAGAAGTTCTGGAGTTTTCTGAAGTTCTGGGAGGGCTCCGGTTGCTTCTATAATAGGGCTGTTCTTCTCTGAGCCCGCGTGTTACTCACATAACCCTCGGGTTTTCAGTAACAGTGCTTGCCTGTCTCTGTTTGGCTCCTAACAGGTGTCCATAGCAGTTGGACTTGCTGCTTTTGCCTGTGTCCTGTTGGTGGTTCTCTTTATCATGATCAACAAGTATGGGCGACGGTCCAAATTTGGAATGAAAGGTAAGGTGGGCTGTTCGTTTGCGAGGGTCGCATTGGGGAACCATGGCTCCTTTTGATCAAAAGATGCTGTTTTAATCTCTCTCTGCTCTCTGAGAGGATCTCTCATGGTGGGCTTAAGTGGCCCTGGCTGGCGTCTCCTGTCTACACCTTTATTATTGGTAGTGATGGATTGAAGGCAGTGTTGGTGTCTGTGAGGACCAGACTGTGGACCACTTGGTTTTTCTGTGATGACCGAAAACATGGCTTCAGTGGGCTGGTGCCAAGATGATGCAGAGAAGTTAAGAAAGTAAAGTGAAAGTTTATTTAAAGAAGGATACACTCTCAGAGGGAGAGCGGGCAGACAGATGAGGGACTGTTTGGCAAGCCAGTTATGAGGAGCGTATAAATGAATGAGCAGAATATTCACTGGGGAAGGAGGGGTTTGGGGGTAGACTTCCCTGATTTTTCATCCCAGGTCCATTTTCCCGAGGGGAGGAGGAACTTCTGTCCCTGTTTAGCTTAGATCAAAAGTGTCATGGCATCTGTGCATGATGAGTACTTCTTATCTGTAAGGCTAATCTTGTTATAATGAGAGGGTGTGTGCATGCTAAGTCTCTTCAGTTGTGTCCGACTCTGTGGACTGTAGCCCGCCAGGCTCCTCTGTCTATGGGATTCTGGAGTGGGTTGCCATGCCCTCCTCCAGGGGATCTTCCCTACCTAGGGATCAAGCATGCATCTCTTATGTCTCCCGCTTTGGCACATGGGTTCTTTACCAATAGTGCCACCTGGGAAACCCAGTCCCGTAATGAGAGCACAGTGAGTAAAAGATGACACTTAGGCTCAGGAGATTCCTGCCTTTCCCCACCTTTATTTGTCTGCTGCTTGAGCCCTTATCACCCAAAATGTGTGGTTTCCTGTCAGTCTGAAGATCCCTGCTTTCCTTTGTCTGCCTATGGACCCCCGTTTTTTATAGGATACATGGTTTCTGGCCACCTGGCTCCTACCCCCATTTCTCTGCTCATACCTAGCAACATGTCTCTTGAAACAAAGTGACTTTCTGAGTAACTGGGTTTTGCCCTTGTCTACACCTGTACGTGGAGTTGTGATGAGAAGGCATTCAGAGAGCTAGATGTTGGTGGTAGCCTCTGGCATTGAAAGGGATCCAGGCAGGGTATTTCAGCCCCTAGCTCTACACAGAGTTCCAGAAATGATGCCAACAGCATCGTGATTGCTAAATCTGCTGACCGGTTTCTACGACGCAGAGCACTCAACCCCATGACCACTGGGATCGGGCTTGAGACATGGCTCTCCACCAAGACTTGGGTTAAGGGCACTCGCACAAAAGGGGTTAATATGGTAAATTAGCATCCATCTGCCTGGTCCCAGGATGGATCTGACCAAATGGCTCAAGGGAGGCTGGGTACCAGTGCTTAAACAGAAACTTGAATATCAAGATATATTCCCAGCTGGTGGTTCCATTTATGGCTGATGTTAATAGGAGATGGGTGGGGAGGGCTGATGAAGAATTTGACAGGCCATCAGGTTCCTGAGCTAGGATTCAGGGTGGAGTCTTCTGATGAGATTATGGGGTCCAGAAAGATGATTTCTGTGACTTCTACACCAGAGCTGGTATCGGTGGTGGGGGTCTTGACCTGGGGACTCAGGAACTGAAGGGGAAAGCATAAATGAGATTCACAGGGATAGTGGTCCCTTGAATTAAATGTGGGCTTCTCAGGTGGCTCAGTGGTAAAGAACCCACCTGCCAGTGCAAGAAACATAAGAGACGAGGGTTTGATACCTGGGCCAGGAAGATCCCCTGGAGAAGGAAATGGAAGCTCACTCCAGCATTCTTGCCTGAAGAATCCCTTGGACAGAGAAGCCTGGTGGGCTACAGTCCAAGGTGTCTCAAAGAGTCAGATACGCCTGAGCGACTCACCAACAACAACGAATTTATATGCAAATGTTTGAGTGTTTGTTCGCGGCTTATGGGTGTGGGGTTGGAAAGGAACTAATCCTCAGCTCCTGTTATATTCTCAAGAGTCCACCACTGTCCTATAAATCTAGAACACTGATATATAACAAGAGATATAGCATAGAGAACCAGAAAGGTAGGAAACGGGGCAGACTGCCTGGCTTCCTAGAAGCCTCCTGCTTCTTCTGCTCTTGGTTAAGCTGAACAAGTCCGAACAAGGCAAACCGGTGTTTCTTGAAGTATGTGAAATACTTCGTCCAAGAGAAATATGCGCACAGGCAAATTATAAAGCTTTCTATGTATAAGCTTGGCCCAAAGCCAGATGACTTATTAAACAAGAGGAGCCCATGATCAGGTATCTTGGCTGGAGACATTTTATCTGCCAGTACCCCACGTGCCAAATAGGGTTTCATAGGTTTGGAAGATAAGCCATCATCCTGTAAGGTTGGAGCCTGCAATCTTCTTTTAAAAAAGATAATTAATTAATCTTTGGCTGTGCTGGGTCCCCTTGTTGCTGCACGGGGCTTTCTCTAGTTGCAGTGAGCAGGAGCTTCTCTCTCATTGTGGTGCACGGGCTTCTCACTGCACCTGGCTTCTCTTTTTGCAGAGCAGAGGCTGTAGGATGCTTGGGTTTCAGAAGTTGTGGCATGCGGGCTTAGTTGATCTACAGCATGTGGGATCTTCCCGGAGCAGAGATCGAACCCATGTCCCCTGCATTGGCAGACAGATTCTCTGCCACTAGACTATCGGGGAGGTCCCTGAGCCTTCAATCTTAGCATCATGCTTGCAGTTCTGGCTTTGGGGACCCGGCGCTGTTTCTTGTGCAGACTTTTCCTGCCGTGGGAGGAACTTCCCTTTCTTTTCCTCCCGTCACCTGAGAAAATAGCAGCGCCTTGAGCCAAGGGACGAGTGGGGCGTTCCTGCTGTCCCCACCGAGAGGCGCGCCGCCAGCTGAGACCCCGCGACAAGCTTGGCAGCGCCGTGGGAGCAGATTTTTCCTATTAATTGTCATCCGGTTTCTGGAACAGCGTGTCCCCATGTCGGATGGATTAGGCAGCATCCAGGGCGGCGCCTTCCTCTCAGCTGTCCTTGGAGCCTCTCCCAGCGCCCACTCCCCTCTCTCAGCCTGAACTGCCCTCGTCGATCCCTGCTGAGCTATAGGAACATGTCCATGAGGTTGGCAGTGAAATATTCCTTAAAGTCAGGTGACCTAAAGAAGTTCTGCTAAAATGAGAGGCAAGATGAGATGGTGTATTGAAGGCTGACCCTGTTTAGAATTAAGCCTGCATCTTTCTGGTCTTTATTATACCTGATTGTATTTAGTTCTTATCTTAGGATGACTAGCAAATGCCCCAGGCTGCATCCACCCTTGATCTTTGATTGCCAGCGGGCATCCCAGTCCAGAAAAAAAAAGAGAGCAAAGGTGTGGGTGCCAGAAACCTCCCAACTCTGAAGCAGGCAAACCTCCATCTCTTCTGAGCCGCTCCATCCTCAGCTTTGAATTTTCAACTCTGGGTTAGAATCTGTGATGCCACTTCATTGCTCTTTGTTTCTAGCAAAGTTACTTAACTTGGGCCTCTGGTCCCCCAACTTCAAACTGATGCAATGATCCTACCTCCCTCTTCGAATTGCCCTGAGTGTTAAGATCTGTGTATGACTGATGTTTGCAAGGATGCCTGTGTTTGTCATTTTCTTTTCTTTGTGTATAAGCCTTTCCAGGCTCTTTTTATTCTCCTTCCAGGAAGGGCTGCCCTCTCAAGACTTAATCATGCCCTACTGTGTCCTGCACAGTATTTAGTAAAAATAGTTTTCTTCTGCACTAATCCTAGGGCACTGTCATTATTTCTCTCAGACATCATCTGTCCTGTTAGACCAGGAGTGACTTGTCAGAAACCTGTGATCACTCAGCCCGTATGCCTGAAACTTTGCAGTCTGTGACAAATGGTTATTGAACTTAGAAATGAAGGACTTTATTTTTACTCATTAAAAAAAAAAAAGCACAGCTTGTTAATCAGTAATGGGCTAGTTAGGGCTCATTTGGAAATCCGAGCTGTCTGGGCAGTGGGAGGGAGAGTGGGGATGATCTGGGAAACTCATAAATAATTCCCACCGTCCACATCTGAGGGCTTGGAACACTGTGTGTGTATGGGGAGGACTTATTCAAATGAATTCCTTCCGAGAAATTAAAAAATATTAAAAAAAATATGAAGATTAGTTAAACAAATACTCATATTCCATTCCTGCCACTCAGAATGAGCAATTCACTGTTTTGTTTTATATTGCATCTAATTTTTTTTTCTTATTACGGATGAAAAACTAAAATGGCTTTGTCAGCCCTGGTCCCATGTCCCCTCCCATTTCCCTGGGCAGTCATTAGCCTGAGTTCACTGTGCATCCATCAGTCCTCTTGGTTTTGTCTCTCCCCCTGTGTCTCTGTCTCTCTTTCTCTGCTGTCTCTGCACATCCACACTTACCCTCATGGCTGTCTCCCAACCAACCTCGTACTCTGTCAAATTAGCAACTACCTCCACCCTCTGACAATCTTAGTGCCCAAGTGTGATAACCAGTTCAATTTTATAATTCTACTTATATGTATATGTGTGTATATATATGTGTGTATGTATTTATGTGTGTGTATGTATATATATATATATTTTTATATTACAGTTGCCTTTGTTAACAGATACATAGAAAATAGTCAAAAGTATTGGGTTGGCCAGAAAGCTCATTCAGATTTTTTCCATCACCTCTTATGGAAAAACCACCTTTCTGGCCTATGCAATATGTATATTTCTGTCTCTTATAGACCTTTTTAATAAATTTTATTTGAATAAGAGAATGTGTATGCCAGCAGTTTTAAACAGCATAATTAAAGACTGCAGAACTCCCAAGAATTGTCACAGATATGTACAGGATGTGAAGATATGCATATTACATATGTATATATGTGTATACATATGTGAGTATATTTATAAGATGCATCATTTGTGTATGCTTTAATGTATGCAAATGTTTATACTGCAAGCACCCTTCCGCATCTTGCTTTATT